CTCCCCCACCCCCCCCGGGACACCTTGCCCCCATCTCGGGAGGCAGCACCGGGCCGTCCCCGTGGCCTCGATTCACCAAAACCTCTCAGCATGTGCTTCAAGAGGACGTGATAAATCCCGCTCGGTCATTGTTGGGCAAAAGTCTCTCTTTTCTTGTTTGTTTTGTGTGGTTTTTTATTTGTTTGTTATATTTTTACTTTTTATTTTTGATGACTTCTGAGCTGGGACTGAAGGCACCGCACAACTAACCATCCGTTTCAGGTAAAACCCCCTGCTATCTGACTGCGTGTCCTTGCTTTGTGTTTCACGCGATGTAACTGCAGCACGTCAGATGTCCTGCAAACCTGGCAGGACAGAAGGCAAATCCAGCTTGTGCCCCCAGAGCCCTGCCTGGACCCTTGTAGGCGATGCTGGAGGTGCCGCCAGGCGTTAAGGATGCTTCTGCTTTCTCGCAAAAATATGGACTGATGGAGGAGCATTGACCTTTCATCCCCCATGTTCACCAAAATGGCTCTTTTCTTGGGTTTGGATTGCTGTCTTCTGTTTTTAACTATAATTTCTTTTTTGTATTGTTATGCACGGTTACACTCCCCCCTCCGAGGATCTGGAAGAAAATTCAGCAAAACATCACGGGGGGAGGGAGGGAGAGAGAGAGAAAAAGACTTAGCAGTCAGCAGTATTCGGAAAATTAAAAATAACCCTCAATTTAAATATTTTCTTTTTTAGTATTGATGACTGAACTGAGTTGCTTTTTGATGGGGTGCTGAGACTGCCTGAAACGAGTCTGTGCTAGGGATGAGTTCATTCCCTTGGGCTGAGGGGTTGCCTGTAACAGCGGCGTGCGCCTGGCCGCACCGAGCGGAGGGCGTTAATTCACGTCTCCACACTTTGGAGCAGTAGGGCGGCATGCTGTCTCTCACTGCAAATAGAGAAAAAGCCATGAAGAGGTAAAAAATAAGTTCCAAAAGCAATTTTGGTCGCATACAAATTCAAGGCGTTCCATAGTGGCGTATGGAAAAAGCTATGGGAGAGCAACACCAAGCTCTAGTGCGAAATAATGAGTCCGTTCTTCCCACCTCGCTGAGCTTGGCAAACTTTACCAGGCCAGTGGAAAACAAGCAAACAAATGGCAATAGAAAAAACTCTTATAAATCAGGCTAACAGGAAAATAAGGCTGCAGCTTATTCTTTCTGGCAATAATCAACTCTGATGAAGGCCCCCCGTCTCCTTTTTGAAATAGCCAGCCGAGGGTTGTGACGCCTGTGAAGAAGCATTTGCTCAGCGAGGGAACAGCTGTCAGCTGCATGCTGGTTTTTCCTCCCTGGAAACAGGCTTTAGCACACTGTGATACAGCCGATGCTTCGCAGCTACAGTAAACACTTAGGATACTTACCGTGTATTGCTTTCACCGACGTGACACCTATCGTTTTAAATCTATCGGCTAAGATAACTGGCTGTGATTACAGTGGAGCTGCACTGATTTTCTAAGGTGAAGATATGGCTAAGAGACTGACCCTTACTGTGTGTGCCTCCCTCCTAGTACATCCTTAAAAATTAAAATACTCCAGACGCATTTTTTTTAACTTGGTAGAACCTCCTGCGTTTGCCTGAAGGTTGTCCCTATCACAAAAATGGGTTGCTTGTAGGAAGCAACATCATATTGAGACTGGTGGAGCACAAACCAGTACCTTCAATTTTCAGCAGAGGGAAAGGTCTACACTGCAACAAACAGTGCTGCTGCTGGGGCAGCAGTTCAGCAGGGAGGATCCTTACCTGATGGAGTAATTAAGGCCACCATCAAGAAAAAGCATTAGTAGAAGGAGTCCAAGCTGCGATTGCACAAATGGCCTTAATCCTCAAATGGCCAAACTTTCCAAATGCTGTATTTCACAGCTTCTGTGTGCTGGTAACACCTTTCTTCCACAGGACACACACGGGCATATCATCACCTCCCTCTGACAGCAGGACTCCCCTTGCTTTTGGTGAATTAGAGATGGGGCCATTTCCACCACTTCTTGCACCATCACCTCCTGCCTCAGGGGAATCCAGCAGTCAAATTCCTTGCATGATTGCCCTACTTGGGCAATTTTTTGTTGCTAGTGCTAGTGGTGTCTTCCCAGAGCTGCAGACTGGAATTATCCCTAGCCATCCCCTAAGGCCCATCCTGCCCTTCTGTCTTGGCTCTGTTTGTCACCCAATGTACACCTCTCCTGGAGGCTCACACACTTAGGGGTATTTGGACTAGAAATTAAAGCTTCAGGAATAAATTTACATTACATTCTGGACACTCAGGAAAAAAAAAAAACTTGCCTCAGAGACTCTAACTGTATTATTCAGGAATGGCTGCAGCTCCCGTACCGGGGCAGGACAAGGAGGGTAAAACCCCACTAGTCATATGAGAGTGTGACCCAACTAATGAAGAGAGGAGTGGGGAAGGGCCAGTGATGCTGGCAAACCATTAGGCTACAGAAACCCCTAATACAGCCACCTTTGGGACCACCTGTGTCAAACAAGTTTCCCCCCCACTGCTGCAGCCAGTTAGGTGGGATCCTGCCCCATGCAGCTGCTTTTCTGCTTCTGTACATGATCTAGTGGGTTTTCTCTGTTTGAAAGTCCTCTTATAGAAGGCTCAACTTCCTTATTTGGCTATTTCTCATCCCAGTTCACCCCAAAAAGCCAAAGCTGGTCAAGTTCACGCTGCCCTGTCTCTTTCCAGCTCCTTCCTCAGCATACCCATGCCTCAGGAACAGCTCCTTCAAATTTAGTGCTCCTGATTACTTCCATTGAAGCGACAGTGTGTACCCACCAGTGCTGGCTCACAAAATTACTTCTGAGACAGCAGGTTTTTTTTACAATAACTCCACAATAACTGGAACAAAAATTTGTAATTCATACATAGTATTCTTAAATCCTCCCCATGATCTTGTTCCATGGGGTGAATGTATCTACTCTGCCAGTAATTTATCCTGGGCTGTCCTTTATGAAACAACAACACAAATTTTAGAAATCAAGAAGCCAGCCCAATTTCCTTAATAGCCATTAATCCTGTGCTCTGCTTAACTATGTGTGACTCTACAGAAACACGCTTGCTGTGTCAGTTACTTAGACTGAAGTATGGGAGAAAATATGCAAGGAATTTCTTGCAATCAGAGCTTTTCTGTGATGTTGTGCAAAACTGATCGATGAAGAAAAAAAACCATGTCAAATGCCAATTCATTAAGAATATCTCCTACAAGAAAAGTAAAAACTAAGTGATTGCCTTAGGAAAACCAAAATACCATGGAGGGAAAATAACGTGTGCTATTTCTGAAAGCTACTAAGCAAAGAGATGAGTAAGCTTTTTGGAGGCACAGTACTGCTTTGGGTCGTCTGGAGAAAGGCAAGAAAATGCAAACTCTAAATATGTTATCATCCAAATAAAAACTGCATTAGATCATTAGATCTTCTTTTGCTCAGCACTGGTAAATCTTTCTTTTTTCTGACTCCACTGAGTTACGTATCTGGTCTTGCTCCAAGAGCAACCGTGCCTCTGCAGCCAGTACTGCTCACAACAGCACTCTTTCTATAAAATTAATCTAATGTAGGAAAAAAAGCAATGTCTCCAAGTTCTTTTCTGAAAGCGTAATGTACACCAATCTAAAGACTAAGACCAGCAGTCTTAGACACTTAAATCAGCATGAGTTTTGCTTCAATAAGCACCATGGGCCCTTCCTAAGGTATATTAAAACTGTGCAGCTTTTTTTTTTTTGGTGTTGGTTTACATCAGGCAGCTTATGTCTTTTCTCCCAAGATTGCATTTTTTTAGCTCTCTGGCAGTCTTTGCTACCCCAGCGTGAATGCAGTGTTGGGAGGTGAATCTACCCTGAAAGCCAGATCTGCCAGATGGTGGCACAATGTGCACCAGGAGGTTTTGGAGCAAAACTTTTCACATTTTTTAGAAAGTGCTTGTTACAAAGAGGCTATTTATAGTGTTATTCTAATAAGAAGCCAAAACAGAGCAGCCTTTTATTAGAAATTGCAATAGAGGGCATTACATTGAGGCCTCCCTGTGCATAAATACCAGTTACTTATTGTGCAAAAATTGGCCTGGGGAGCTGAAAAATTCAGCTTGTATTAGCAAAGAGCTCATTTAGGTAGGAATGTTTTAAAGAGTTTAAGCAGTACTGGCAGAATTCAATTAATTCGGTGTGTGACAATGTCATTTCATCCTAATTAGTTAAGAACACAGAAATAAGAAAAAAAAAAAGAAAAAAGAAAAAACCCTGTTCCCTCATGAGACTCCATCTAAAGAGTTATGATAAAAGTTCTGTAAGTTCTGCCTGTTGGAAAACAGTCATTTAAAACTTTCCCCAGTCTAGACTCAGACAGCTCTGAGTTTAAGTAAGAGTAGTAAAAATAATAATACTAACAACAGTAGTAGCATAATAACAATAGTAGTTATTATTATAGAATCATAGAATCATTCAGGTTGGAAGAGACCCTTGGGATCATCGAGTCCAACCATCTACCCTACTCTATAAAGTCCTCCCCTACACCATGTCCCTCAGTACCCCATCTAAACGTCCCTTAAACACAGCCAGGGACGGTGACTCCACCACCTCCCTGGGCAGCCTGTTCCAATGCCCGACCACTCTCTCTGTGAAGAATTCCTTCCTAATGTTCAATCTAAACCTACCCTGTCGGAGCTTGAAGCCGTTCCCTCTTGTTCTGTCACTAATTACCTGTGAGAAGAGACCAGCACCAACCTCTCTACAGTGTCCTTTCAAGTAGTTGTAGAGAGTGATGAAGTCTCCCCTCAGCCTCCTCTTCCTCATAGTAAACAGTCCCAGCTCCTTCAGCTGCTTTTCATATGATTTGCCTTCCAGGCCCTTCACTAGTTTTGTTGCCCTCCTCTGCACTCACTCCAGCGAAGTGAATAAAAATAGTAAACGATGCCTTTATCTTCCAGGTGAGTGTAAGCAGGTGGGAGAAATCAGCAGGGAAGCTCCTTCTGGCTTGCTGCCTTGCAGTGAAGCTGCTTTCTATGTGTCCTAACTGAGGCATCTTGTGCCAAGGAGGTGGGGAACCATAGGTTACACCTTATCCCCTCCTGGGTACAAGCTACAGGAAGGGATGTTTTGCTTCAAACAGCCCAGGGAAAATCTGGATTAGGGGAGTTAGCTCATTCTCTGGGATGCTGGAGCCCAGGCAAAGGGCAGTCCCCAGACCTCAGGCTCCTGGAATGGGCTCATCCTGCCTTTGGGCAGGTGTCCCCGGTGTCCCCCTCGCTGCCCCCCGGCCCTGCTGGACCCCTGCCCAGACATCCCCAGTGCCTCCTCCCCACTTTTTGGGGCCCGGATTGCAGGACAGGCTTCTTCTCATCCTCAAACGAGATACCGCATGACGCTACAGATACAATACAGCCTTCTTTGATGTTGTTGAGGAGAGGGGGATAACAGGGGAGGAAAGAGAAGAAATCGGGGTGGGGAGTAGGGGGGGGAAGGCAAGTTTCCCCAGGACCCATCCCGCACCCCCTGCCAGCCTTGCGGGCGATGCAGCCAGGGAAGATGCCGTCAGTCGCCGCCCGGGGCTGCCTTCTGCCGCCGGCCTGGCCATCCCGCCGCTCCCCGCACGGGAAGGAGGGGGTGCCGGCAGGAAGCCCCCCCGCCCGGCCGGATCCCGGGGAGCGGGGCTTCGGCAATAGCAGCCGCCCGCCGCCGAGCGGCGCCAGACACCGAAATACAGCCGGGGCCCCGGGAAACTGCCGCTCACCCGGGCGGCGGGGTCAGAAACGGGGCTGGTCCCGGCCGGCCAGCCCGGGGGGGGGACCGAGGGGACACCCCCCAGAGACCCACGGGGAGTCTGGAGCCCAAAGGGGACGCTGGGCGGACAGGAGGCAGCCGGGGTCACCCCTGTGCGTCTCTACCTG